GTTGCCTCCCAGAATCCTGTGTGGCTTGATGTCCCCAGGGAGAGGGAACAGGCAGTTTCCTGGGAGGGGGAAAGGGGCCCTCCAGCCTCCCTGCAAGTGCACCCACTGAGGAAACACCACTTGAGGACGTAGCAAAAGTTGGATAAGTGTGTGCAGCCTGTCTATTCTTATCAAAGTGCCACTTTCTCTGTAAACTGCATAGATAGGGTTCCCTCTTCACAGTGATCTCCCCCACTTTTGGGGAGTAGGAGGGTGTGTCAAAGGTCACCAGGTTGTACCACATTGGACTGAAGTCACTGTGGAACATGGAGGCAGAGTTGTCCCTGGAGTTTCTAAGCCACCTGTGACCATGTCAGCTCCCTCTCCAGTTTTATCACATACCACCCCTGCTCCCAGCCTGCTGCCAGCCCAGTGAAATGTTTTGCTTCCTCCAAATTTCTAATTTAACCCCTGGAAAGAGAGAAAGTTTTTGCCTGAAAAGTTCTTCCTCATCCTGTTACCTGGTTAAAACCTGCTTTTCTGTGGATGCCTGTTTGTTCAGGACATTTCATCTGTCCCCCTGAAAGGCTAAATTAGGTACCTAGCCTGTCTCCTGTGTTTCACTGTGAGCCCGTGGAGAGCAGAACTGGCATCTTAGGCCTGCAGCCAGATGCCTCACACTGAATGGTGCTCTGCAAATGTGAGTCCTCACAAGCCTGTGTGGATTCCCTTAGGTGACCAGCCCACAAAATGGAGGCACCTTCTTCTCATCTAAGCATCGCTGAGGTGGTGTCAAACTCTGGTGTTCCAGATATCACAAGCTTTTGCCAATTAACCAATAAGATGTGCCTGAGGAGAGGGGAAAGGCTTGATTCAGAATATTAAAATCAATGTAGCTAATTAAAAAATAACTCGTTGAACTGAAAAACAAGTTCAAAAACAATTAAGATAATTAAAATATCACCACCTTAATTGAGACCAAGCTGTGTGCTTAAAAAAAATAAAATTAATTAAAAAACATACACAGAGCCAGTGATTAACTGGCTTTTGAATTCAATGCTTTTCAGCTCAATAAATCTCTCTTTAAATTACTTCATCATTAGTTGTTGTTTTCTTTGAGAAAGTTTTTGTAAAAATTACTTTGAAAAAATAATTGGCCATGTGCCATTGGCCAGTTGACCCTTGGGGTGGTTTATGGGTATGGGCAAGAAAGATGAATTAACATTTGGGCGTGGGTAACTGCTCTGTGAGAGATGGGCCCAGGATCTTGGTTAGGTCCTCTTGAGTAGTCCTACGGGTATTGTGATAAAGGAGGTGGAGGAGACATAGAGCTTTACTGTTTTCTGGGGCTTGCTGTCTTGTTGCTGAGAGAGAGACTGAAATTTGGAACACAGCCTTCAGGATATCATTAGCACCACAGCAAGGCAGCCTGGACCCTGCTTGGGGTTCTCACACTCAGCTCTCTCACCCTATCTTTTTGCAGGTGCCGTTTCCCCCACCTTGTTAAAGGCCTGTCAAATGTCACTTATTATTCTGATCTCTTACCCTTCCCTTCAGAAAGTGGAGCCCCATGGCCCTGTCTAGTAGGGTGCTGGGTACCTTTCAGGTGTTTCACTGTGAGCCTTGGGGCTGCTAGGGAAAGTGTATATTTGGAGGCCTGCCTTCAGTGGAGATGGCACATTCCTTGTCCCTTTTCAATCCTAATGTGGCTGTTTTCCAAAACGCAATATGTTGAGGTGATTAAACAAATGCTGACAGCTTGATTTGTTACTGTTTTGTTGTTCTGCGAAGTTCATTTACTCTAAATAATTTGCATATGTGTTTGAAGTATTCAGATCCTAGTAATTGATTTTTAGCAGACTGGATTTCTATATGAAAATCATTAAGTATGTGTACAGAGTTAAATAACTGACAGTTTTTATTTATTACTATTTTTGATCAGAGGTTTTCTTTGTTGTTGTTGTTGTTTTCTAAGAAATGGTCCCTTCCAGAATTGGAGTGATGATCTGTAGCAGTTAGCCTAATGGTAGGATGACAGATGGCAAGGCTGCAGAAACAAAATTGACCTGACCATGCTTCAGTTGACTCAGCTGGGGTGTTGCTGCATTCAGGGAGAGGAGGCAGAGGGCTTAGGTTTCCAAGGCTAGGTGCCCCACACTGTGGCTGATAGTCTGAGCTGGTGACCCAGCCGTGTGGGGCACACTGAGAGGTTGTGGAGGCTCGGCTTCTGTAGCACTGGATACTGGCTGCCCCTTACACTGACCCAGAAGCCTCATTCTGCCCTGAAGTCCTCTCAAGAGTATGGTGCCATCAATCAACTTTTTAAAGAAGATTCTGAGTGGTTCTCATGCTGGTGGCATATACACGGTGGTGAGGAGTTTGGGTTCTGGAGTCAACAAACCAGGTGTGCAAATACCCTCTGCGTCTCTCTCATCAGCAATTTCTTTTTGAGACCTTTATTTATAAAATGGGCACATTAACAGAAGCTGCCTCCTGAGGTGGCTGTGAAGACCAAATGTGGCAATCCAGTTAGAGGCTCAATTTATTGCCTGCACCTCAGAAGCCCCAGTGAGTGTTAACTTGTTATTATGAGGGCTTGTTGTTTACTATGGAACAAAAGACAAAATACAGAAAATCTTAACAAATACATACAAGGTACCTAACATGTACCAGGTCTGTCCTGAGGACTTATGGATGCTAACTCATTTAATATTCGTGACAGCCAACAAGCAGTAGTAGGTGCTGTTATTATTCCCTTTGTATAGGAGAGGAAACTGAGGTATAGAACGGTTAGTAAGCAGCAGAGCCCTCGAGCCTGTGCTCTTCTCTGCTGTGCTTGGCTGATGCACGTTCCACTAGCCATTCAGACCAGAAGCGAAAGGAAGCTCAGATTCTGCCATAAAGCTTGTCATGTAGTCCTGCAGATTATGACACCTGTCACCCTAGGCCAGGCTGCTATTCTCTGACTCTGAGACCCACTCAGGTGAAAGTCCTGAGTTCTCTGCTACAGCTCTTGGCACGGGGGAAAACACCTTACCTGGGACCTGTGGCTGGGCTGCCAGTGGTCTAGTCTCCAATTCTCTTGAATGTGTGAGTCTTCATCCTGTGGTGCTGCATGGAAGCGTGAGAGCTGACATGGTTACCTGGTAGTCATTTGTAACTATTGACTTGATTTTGGATGTGTCTTGGGAAGCAGGTCACAGTTAGCTGTGCTGTGGCTCCGAGGTCGGCAGGGGTTGGGAAGGCACAGGAGAAGACCAGAGGCCTGAGACTGTGACTGTGCAGCCTTCTGGTTTCTTGTTCAACGAAGAGAGTTCTACTTGGGATTAGGAAGCTCTTGCTGAAAGTTTCAGGAAATCCCTACCTCCTGGGAATCTAGGGGCAGGCGCAGGGCCCTCTGCCACTTGCTTCTCAGGGGTAGCCGTGGCCTAAGAGCTGGGAGTGGATACCCTGACCCTGGGACTGGAATCAGCCTCTTTACCTTGGAGCCTGTTCTCTCTGTGAAGCTACAGGTGTCGGAGATGGCTCCTCCAGGGTGTCCCCTGGGACCTAGACTTGGTGCTGTCCTACTCAGCCTGGGGATGCACCCTGGCTTCTGTCTGCCGCTGCTGCAGCAGAGGTCCTACCCTCAGCTGTTCAGGTTGCAGAAGAAATGCCTTTTGACGTTGTGTGTCCAGGCCCCTTGAGAAATTCTCAGCAGCCATCTGGAGAAGACGGTGTTCAGATTCTGGGCCTGGGCAGGAGGAGAGGCTGCATGACTTCCTGTGTGTGCCGAGAGTCACCACGGCTGCAAGCCCTGTGGCTGAGGGCACCACTGCGTTTCTTTTTTGTTTTGTCTGTCTGTTTGACCATGGTGTTACTTATAGCAGTTCTGCTGTACCTGCTCGGGATGCCAATTTGTTTAACCAAATGTTTGCGTGGGGAGGACACGGGGAGCTATCACCTCCCCTGACTGTGGAAAGCAGTTATGAGAGATTTACTGCCTAATAGGCTTTAGGCCCTGGAGCTGGGAGATGGCACAATTGCTTTTGTTTCGCTGAGAATTCCCTGAGGCCTCTTCTGTGCCAGTGATGAGCATGTGCGCCTCAGCGTGCAGAGCGCTGATTAGCCGAGGGCCTGCTGCTCAGCCTATTCTAGAAAATGGTACAATATATGAACTACTGTCTTTGGAGATCCTTGCCAGAGTTACTTGTTTGAATCGACTCCCTCCTTCCCTTCATTATTGCCTCCTGGAAACCACACTTAATAGTCAGATTGAATATCTTATGATCACCCAAACACGCCTCCCTGCATTTGCCGTGTTGGTCCCCCTGCCTAGATTGCTTTTTCTATCTTTGCTTTGCGAAATCCTGCTCATCCTTCAAGATCCAATTCACATATTAATGCTTCACTAATCTTTGCCCTGGAAATTGATCTCTATTTTCCTCTTGAGCTCTGTTATCATTTTATATGCCCGTCATGATCCTTATCTAATTCTCCCTCTCACAATAAATATTTATGTGCAAGCTCCCCCCCACCCCGCCCCGGTTACGTTGTAACTTCGTGTGGCACAAAACTGACAGACATATCCTGAAGTTCTCCAAAAACTTAAAATAGGTTATTCACACACAGTTGGTATTTATTGAACTCTGTCCTCAAGGATTTTTTATAGGAAATAAGTAAAATTAGGCATGGATGAAGTCATAAGAAAAGCAGCACCAGATAAATAACCAAAGTGGGAAAATAGCTCTTGGTCCATGGACCGTGTATGATGCTAAAGGATTTTTTAAAGTAATTCCTGCCCGAGATGAAGATGCTGCGGCTCCCACAGCACACAGGAGTTGCTCCTGAGGTGTCAGAGGATGTGTGTGACAGACATTCACGCCCCCTGGCTTGCGTTTTCATTCTAATCCCCACCAGCCTCAGAAATCAGTGCAAGTACAAATGCATGGTTGGTTTATTTCCCACTTGTTTATTTGAGTAGAAATAGAGATTAGATTTCCCTGGAGTTCCTAACCCCCCTCTTATTCTTATTCCCTCAGCCCTGGACCCATCCAAGGATCCCTGCCTGAAGGTGAAGTGCAGCCCTCACAAAGTGTGTGTGACCCAGGATTACCAGGCTGCCCTGTGTGTCAGCCGCAAGCACCTGCTCCCCAGGTAAGGCAGCAGGACAGGGGCTGGGGCCGGGAATTGTTCTGAAGCTGGCAGGTCGGCGCCTACTCAGTCTCTGACTGGGGCTGCAGGAAGGGAGAGCATAGCATTCATGTTGCCACTTTGCACGGCCTTTGGTACCTGTACCCTGCTGTGGTTCGACTCTCAGTTCTCAGACAGATTTACAAAGAATGTCAACCTTTGTTTCCTTTAAATCTGCTTCATTTGGACACTGAGTCCTCATCTGAGCCGATGAGCAGAAAACCCCTTCTTAGTCATTATTGGGATGCTTCTTCCTCCCAGAGTGATGTCAGGATTCAGGAAACTTACAGCTAAGAAAGCAGCTGCCAAAGTTTTAGTCTCCTGGTTGTACTGACAGCCTTACTGTGATGATTCCTTGAGGTCCTTTGAGGTCCAAGGGTTCTAGGTTTCTGTGCCCTCTCAGGACCACCTCACCACCATCCCATCTGGAAACATGTCTTGCTTTTTTGCTCAGGGACCTTTGATCTCTTGCTGTTACTCCCCATACACCTGCTCCCCTACTCCCAGTGTTTAGACTTTTACAAATGGGGGGAAGAGCTTTAGAGTTCAGGCTGCTTCTGCTTTAGTCCTACAGAGATACTCAAAGCCTGAAGACAGACACCTACACCCTGGCAAGCAGGATTTCTTTTAAAAAGGAGTTAGATGGAGTGGGGTGGGAGAAAAGCAGTTTGAGTGTCTGTCTTCCCTCCGCCATGTGCTGGCTGTATGATTAGGGCTTTGGCATTACACTTCCCCACTTCTGGATCTGGCAATTTCTTGTGCTGTTCACTTCCACCACACTATGACCTCAAGCAGATGAAGCAGCCTTACTGAAATGTGATTCCCACTGAAATCTGTCACCCTAGAGCTTTTGCTTTATTAGCTCCATTTTGACCTGGGACCCTGCAGCATAGGTCCTGTCCCATCCCTTAGTTCTTGAAGTCTAAGCAGTGCTGGTCCCCTTGGCTTCTCCTCTTGGGACATGTTTTAATTTCCCTCAGCACCCTAAGTGGTTTCCTCTGAATCTGCCACTGTCTGAATCGCAGTCTGGCATATAAACAGAGCTGGAGCGTGGGGGTAACAGTTCAGGGCAGAGCCCATCACCGCTTGACTTTTCTAAGCATACATGGTACCTGCAGCAGCAGACCAAGCCTCCAGGGTCATCTTGCTATGGATCACATTGTTTTAAGACTACTCAGCCTTTGTCTCTATAAGATCAAGATGCGAGTATTATAATGTGCTTTGTTCTTTCCCCAGACTAAAGCATTCTCCTTGGTAGTAAAGATAGCTTTTATTCCTGGAACCCTCAGCATGCGCCATGCCAGCATAGTGCTTGGCACCCACATCCTTGAATTTTTCCAGCCATTTTGTAAAGTTGGCATTTATTTTGTCTCTACTTTACAAATGAGAGAACTGAGGTGGAGGGAGTGATTAGTAATTTGCTCGTATATCTCATAACCTGCAACCATGATTCAAACTCAGGACTGTCTGGCTCAAAAGCTCATGTTCTTCACCACTGAGTTATATTGACCTCTTCATTTACTCGTTCTTATCTACTCATTCATTCATTGTCACCTATTGAATACCATGCACCAGGCTGGTAGTAGACACTAAGCCAACAGGACTACTGAACCAGAGACACTATTCCTATTACTGGAGGAAAATCCAGTTCACTGGAGAGTGGGCTGTAAAAACAGTTATTTTGTTTGCTACCTTTTAAGGACAAGTGATTTCTTCCTCCTCTAATGGAAAGAAAATATGGTGTCTTTTCTTGCAAATACCCAATACCCTTTAGGATGGTGTTCTCAGTTATTAAGCTCTGTGTGTGTGTGTGTGTGTATAAGATAGAGAGTCCATTACATGTTTCCTCCTAGAATTTCTGGAAGTGCCAGGCAGACGATTTTTAATTTAAACTCAAATATGTTTGAGAAAGAAGCAGCAACCTCATTGGTATTCAGGCATATCCAGGTGTAAATGGTGTTTTTCAGGGGAACCTATGTTTGCCCAGAAAATGTTGGAAGTGCTAACTCTTTTTTGCTTATGTTGACAATGCAATCTTCATCTCCTGTATCTCTTGGTGACCATAAAGTTATAGGAGTTGAGAGCATGGATTTGGAAACAAGACCAATCTGGGCTCAATTCCCAGGTTAGCTATTTCCTATTTTCAAGGCATCTTGGCAAGTTACTTTACCTTTCTGTATTTGCTTCCTCATCTGTTAAATAGGCATAGTGACAGTGCTTATCCCTTCCTTCTTTTCCATGTGTTGGAATACATCCTCTCCTAATTCTCACAGAGAGGGTTTATGAGTGGTACATTTTATGAATCCTCACGTAAGGTACTTTTTGTGAATGTTTGCGTGTGAGTTCAATAAGACGATGGTGTCTAAAGTTACACAGTTTAATATCAAATATGACACTGGTTCTTACAATTACTGAGACAATTATGATCATTGTTACCATCTGATTCACTCTGGAAGGTCAGCCAAAAGTCCCCAGAGTTGCATGCTCCTAGGTGAAAAGTCGATTCCTACAGGTGCCGTGGCCCCTTCCGGGTCCGACTGTGCTTGCCTTTGCAGCTCCCCCTTGAGGTTTAGTGTGAGGAGTCTAGTGTCATTTCTGCCCCTTTGTGATCAACAAGTGTCAGGAATAAGAAGATGACTACCTCCTGATAATAGGTCCTGCCCATTCTTAGAAAGGTGGCCCAATGAGGAGGATTTGGCTGAGGCGATGTGCCCACTCCCTTATCAGGATCTAGGAAGTGGCCTGGCCCAGGAAGTCCCTGCAGTGTGTTGGCTGTGCTTGTGGCCCAGCCTTCTTCCTCTTCCTGTTAGAGGCTGAATGCCCAAGCCTAAGATATCAGCCAAGCACTCACCTCTTCCCAGCATCTTGGACACCTTCCCAGATGAAACATCTGTCCTTCCACATGTACTCCAGGGGTACTCCCGCAACCAAGGAGATCATGTTGATACCTCTATTTATTCATCAATCATGGAAGTAACCTTCCTCTCTGTGAAACATCTGTAGGCAAAGCTGGCCTCTGCAGCAGCTCAAGAGGCAAATCCTGCCTGCCAGACAGTCAGGAGCACACACAGACCAGACGGGGAGGCAGCAAGGCCAGGCTTAGGCTGATGACAAGGCCCCAGACTTCCCCTCTTTGCAGGCAGATCAAGACAGAAGGACAGTGAGCACATGAGTGGAAGAATTTCATTAGCTTTCCTTGCCTGCAGAGATTGAGTGGCTGCAGAAGCTGTTTGACACACACGCATCTGTGCCTGCAGTGCCAGGGCAGCTGGGCAGGCAGTTTCAGTGGGGCTGAGCGGGGGACCAGCCCTCCCTGCTGGGATGCTTCTCCTTGATTGGCGTGGTGTTGTGTTTGGATCATCAGAGCCTTCAGCTGAACTCCCATTCTCTATGGAGAATTCTGTTTTGGAAATTTTGTTTTGCTTCTTCTTACTGTTAAGCAGTATTGAGAGAGGTTGGAGGGGAGATGTTTGGTAATATTTTCACCTTTTGAGTTTTCCAAAGGGGCCATTTATACACTACAGAGCAGTGTGAAGGCAGCCTGGAGGCAGAAGGCCTTCTCTTAAGTAATTTTTTTAAATACCCCAATTTATTTTAGGTATAATGATAATTGACGGTCAATTATCTAAAAATAATAATTAAAATATATTACAGAATACTCCTTCTATTCTTTATTGTAGTCATGGGTTTTGTCCATTGGTTTTTGTCAAAACTTGATTATTGAGCAGTTTCTCTAGTATATATTAAAGTTTGTATTGGGCCCTCTTCAATTAATATTTATAAATGAGTATTTTTATGATACTATAAAGTCTTTGTAAGTATAAATTTTAGTTATATAACTGACTATACAAAAATTAACTTGAAATAGATCATAGACTTAAATCTAAGAGCTAAGACTATGAAACCTTTAGAGGGAAACATAAGCATTGTGAGTTTGGGTTTGGCAAAGATTCCTCCAGTGGAAGACACAGGCGCACACACAAAAGGGAGACAGAGTGGATTTCATCACTGGTCTTCTAAAGACACCTTTAGAAAAATAAAAAGGGCAAGTGATGCTGGGAATAATATCTCTAAAACATGGATTTTGAATCTAAAACATGTAACGTGTACTTAAAGACTTATTCATATGCATGACAGCTTTATTTGTCATAGACAAAAACTGGGAAACAACTCAAACCTGCCTCAGCAGGTGAATGAGTAAACAAATTGTGGTATCTATATTACGATGGATTACCATTCGGCAAGAAAAAGAAATAGGCTATTACTGATGTAGCCAATAACATGGATGAATCTAATGATAATTATGCTGAGTGAAAAAGGATTGACCAAAAAAAAAAAAAAAAGAGAAAGAGAGAGAGAGAGTGTATATACTGTATGGTTTCCATGAAACTTTGGAGAATGCAAACCAATCTATGATGACAGAAAGCACATCATTTTTGGCTGGGGAAGGGACCACTACCTCAGGGTAACAGTCTTTGGGTACTTAAACATTCATTAGGGCTTGCTAATAAAGCTGATCCTTCAGGAAACAGTTAAGTCAACTCTGATTTTAGATGCTTAAGATCCCATGAGTAAATGGGTTTGTTTGCAGAAGAAGAGTTTGTATTACAACAATGCATTATTCTTCCTGACTTAGGTTTTAAAAATATTCTCTTAGGGAACAGGAGGATAGATAGGAAATCCTAAGGCCTGCAGAGGGCTCTGCTCTCAGGGACTCTGCTGGTTCAGGTGGCTGGTTCTGATTTATTGTTCTGTGTGGGCGGGAGATGGTGGAGAGGGGGGTGTGGAGGTTTCCCTACAGAGTGCTGAGCATTGATTTTCCCTCTCTGTTGCCATTGATTTTCATTTGGAGAATGGAAAATTGAAGCATTTGTTTTAAGCCTTCCAGACAAGCCACATTCTCAAATTCTGCAAGTGTATTGTGAATGGGAGGAAAGGATGTCAGAATGGAACTTCTAATATCC